GGGGCGGCCGCCCGGCCAAAATATTGGCTTCTGTTAATGAAGTCTATGCACCAACGTAGTTGAGTGACTTTCAGTATTTTGGTCATATCTTTCTCTCCCGATATCCGATTGAAGCAATTCAAGATTCATTAGAAAGCCAACTCAAAGAGCTACAACTTTTCTTTAGATATAACCTTCCGATTCGATCTTTGCCATGTCAAAAATGGGTCTCAAATTGAGACTGAAAATCCGATGTATAACTTTTCGATTGAAAATTGATGTGTGATCCTACTTGACGATATTCATCCCTTTGACTTCTTTCTTCATTCAATTGACTTCTAAAACTCTCAAATCTTCATCGTTTGGTTCGACACAACTTTTGTATATTTTCACGTTAGTCCTTGAACTTTCATTTCCTTTCAGTTTGGTCCATTTTCACATATTTCTTCCAAATTACGCTATATCCATCAACTTGCCACCTAAACCAAAATATGAGAATACTAAGTACATTTAGGCATAAAATAGTCATATGAGCGCATTAAATAAAGATGCAAAATGTGTATTTTATATTCCNTTACCACCTAAATCAAAATATGTACATAATGAGTATATTTTGGTATTGATTAATCATACGAGCACATAAAATAAGGAGGAAAAATATGCATTTTGTATTCTTATCAATACACGTGGTAGATAGATTCTGGTACAACAACTTACATCAGTGTGTCTATGCAATGTTGTCTGAGTTGCCGAAAACAAGTGATGGTGAAAGATGCATCTATGTTGGCGACATCAAGACGTTTGAAGTAGAAGTAATAGGAAAATTTAGATTATTGTTGTTCGTGCAAAACCCCCAAGCGTACGGGATCGTCAACAAGTAATAGAATTGATGAGTTGAGAGTTATCGTCCCACAGTGAATAAATTCAATTCAAATTTACTAGTTATGTATGCGATTCGAATTGTGTAAACAAAAGAGAGTTTTCATTTGATTTTATGCTAAATTATCTAAGAAAACAGTAAAATGTGGTTTTTATCAATTTATGGATGATTGTATAGGATCTCGAATCCGCCTATTGTTATCTATTTCAATTCTTGATTTGTAATCTAGTTCCGTTCGTGCGTTCTTAACAATTGATAAAACTGATATATAATTCTCTTTTCCAAGACAAATTAAATCTATTCTAACCACGACCCGAATCTATTCCTAGCCCAAATTCGAATGATTAGAATGCATTAAAGTTTAGATTATCTATTTGATTGCAAATGTAATAAATGTTATTCCTAACATCTATTGCACACATATTAATT